ATCATTTGCCTGCCTGTCTTCGTTATAAAGATTGGTGCCCTGGCTAGATGTCTGCAGTTTTCTTTCTTTCTTCTCTCTCTTTCTCTTTCTTCTCGCACTTCTCTTTCTTTATTCTCTCTCTCTCTTATCTTTCTCTCTCTCTTTTCACTTACTGCTACCATTCTCTCTTCTCTTCTCTTCTTTCTCTCACACCTTTCTCACTTTTCTCTCTCCCTCTCCCCCTCCTTCTTTCTCTCTTCCTCCCTCTCCCTCTTTCCCTCTTCCTCCCTCTCCCTTTTTTCTCTCACCTTCTCCCCCACTTCCCTTTCTTTATGTCCTTCAACCCCCCCCCCCCCTCTTTCTCCGTGTCCCCGCCCAATGCCCCGCTCCTCTCTCGCCGTCTGACTCCCCCCCCCCTCTCTCTCTCTTTCCAATTTATCACCTATCCTTTTTTCCTCTTTATCAATCCTTCCCTCTTTTTTAAAAATAAATTATTCCTCTTTACTATCCACCCCCCCCCCCCACAAAAAAAGAAAATAAAAAGAAAAAAAAGAAAAAAAGAAAAACAGAAAAAGAAGAAAAAAAAATAATAATGGCACTCTATCTCAAACCTATCAAGAAAAGAGACTCTTTTTTTTGCCATCAGCGTTTATTAAGAATTCCCTAAAACGGCGTTCGTCCAAGAAAGACACGCGCGTTCTTGTAAGCGCCTTTAAGCTGCAGATATCCACAGAGATCCGCATTCTTCCGGCTCCCCGTTCGTGTAAAGGGGCTGCGTTTACCAGCTTCTATGCATACATTCATATTTCATCTTTATCTTATAATTATGTTAATACCGGGATATATTGAGACTGCTTTCCCTTTCTCGTTTTTTTTTTCTTTTCTTCAGAACTATTAATAATGTACACCACCAACATACACTTCATACTCGACCTCCCAACAAACACCTCACACTCGACCTCACAACATACACCTCACACTCGACATACACACCTCGCAACAGACGCATTTGCATGACCGCCGATTGCATGACCGAAAGGGACGCAACAGTACAAATGCACAGCAGGACACATGCACACTGAACGCGGACCCCAAGTATGACGGATCACTTCCTGTCATAAGTGTCAAGTCAATCATACCGTGGCAGACGAGGAGGAGGATGCCACACCTGGTGCCAGAAGGGGGTGGGGGTAGGGAGGGAGGGAGGGAAAGAAGAAGGGAGGGAGGGAGGGAGGGAGGGAAGGAGGGAAGGAGGGAGGGAGGGAAGAAGGGAGGGAGGGAGGGAGGGTGGGGGTGTCACTGGCTATTTATCTAAGTTGAGTTTGATTTCGCTACTTTTTTATTTATCTATTTAATAATGGCGTTTAACTGTTTCAAATATCAAAATCTTCGCCTTATTTATTATGACTTTTTTGTTATTACCATTCATTTCCATCATCTTTATCATTATATGTGGTACAGTAGTAGCAGTTGCTGTAATAGTAGTAGTAGTAGTAGTAGTAGTAGTAGTAGCAATGGTCTCATAATTATAATAATCATTATCATCATCAACATTCTTACTATTATTACCCTGTCATTATTACTATTATTATTACCCTCAGTATCATCAACACTACCACCGATCGATCTATATTTTCGGCCCTTAACCTTGCTTCGCTTCGTAATTGGCTAAAAACAAAACAAACTCGTGTCTCACAGAAAACGGCAAAGCCACCTTATAGAAAACGGCAAAATAAAAAAAAATCACAGAAAACGACAAAAACACCTCACAGAAAACGGCAAAAATCTCACAGAAAACGAGAGAAACCTCAGCCCTCAACGAAAACGCCAACGCTTAAAAAAAGTCCAAACAGAAGCGCATCCAGTTGGGAGAAAAATTCAGAAAACTCTATCATCAAGAAAATTAATTAATTAAGCAATCAAGCCTCATGAAGACACGACACAACGAGAGAGAGAGAGAGAAAGGAAAGAGAGCAAAAAAAAAAAGCGAAAATCCTGTTCGCCCTTGTGACTCATCCCCCACGGTGACGTCACACGATGGTCTCGTATCCTCCAGCTAACGAAATCTTTTGGAGTTACATAAGAGTTTCTCAAAAGGAGTTTAAACGGTTCATAAATAAATGGTTTATTTTGGGATGTTGACATTGTTCGTGTTTGTTTGTGCGTAAGGGAGTCACAGGCTGGGAAAGTGTGTTTCTGTGCTTGTTCTTGTTATTGTGTGTCTGAGAGTGAGTGAGAGTAAGTGTGAATGAGTGTGTGTGTGTGTGTGTGTGTGTGTGTGTGTGTGTGTGTGTGTGTGTGTGTGTGAGAGAGAGAGAGAGAGAGAGAGAGAGAGAGAGAGAGAGAGAGAGAGAGAGAGAGAGAGAGAGAGATAGAGAGAGAGAGAGAGAGTTCTTGTGTGTCTGAGAGTGAGTGAGAGTGAGAGTGAATGAGTGTGTGTGTGTGTGTGTGTGTGTGTGTGTGTGTGTGTGTGTGTGTGTGTGTGAGAGAGAGAGAGAGAGAGAGAGAGAGAGAGAGAGAGAGAGAGAGAGAGAGAGAGAGAGAGTTCTTGTGTGTCTGAGAGTGAGCGAGAGTGAGATTGAATGAGTGTGTGTGTGTGTGTGTGTGTGTGTGTGTGTGTGTGTGTGTGTGTGTGTGTGTGTGTGTGTGTGTGTGTGTGTGTGTGAGAGAGAGAGAGAGAGAGAGAGAGAGAGAGAGAGAGAGAGAGAGAGAGAGAGAGAGAGAGAGAGAGATTGAAATGAGAGAGAGAGTGTGTGTGTGTGTGTGTGTGTGTGTGTGTGTGTGTGTACGTGTGCCCATGCAGCAACCTTTCCCATGACCCCAGCGAGGCCTCTCCCGAGACACCAAATAATCAACTTATTCAAACCATTAAAGCGAGACTCCCCCGCGCTGCTCCCCCCTCCCCCCCACCTCGGGATGCGACGAGGGAGGGATAAAGGAGAAGAGGGAGGAAGAAAGGGGAAGAGGGAGAGAAAGAGAGAGGGAGGATGGGGAAGAAGGAGAGAAAGAGGGAGGGAGGAGAGAGTAGAGGGGGAGGAAAAGAGGGAGGAAGAAAGGGGAAGAGAAAGAGATAGAGAGAATGAAGGAGGATGGGAAAGGAGGGAGAAAAAGAAACGGATGATCGAGAAAAAAAACAGAAAGACAAACAAATAACGAAGCGGACACGCACACACAAATGAAAAGAGAGAGAGAGAGAGAGAGAGAGAGAGAGAGAGAGAGAGAGAGAGAGAGAGGAGAGAGAGAGAGAGAGAACGAGAAAATAAAAAAATAAATTAAAAAAATACGAGAAAATGAAAAGAAAAGAAAGAAAGTACGAAAGGAAAATATATATGCACGGTAGCCCCCACTGACACGCCCAGAGATCCCCGCATCCGCCGAGGGGGGGCGTGCGTAGAGTAACAAGGAAAGGGCAAGACCAGGACAGAATAAACTACGCTCCTGTGTCGATGCGTTAATACTAAGCGAGAGGTTATGTATATGCTTTCGATTTTTTTTTCTGTCTGTCGGTTTATCTGCTCCTTTCTCTCCTTGTCTCCTCTTTCCTTTCTATTTTCTCTTTCTCTTTCTTTCTCTCTCTTTCCTTTTTCTTTCTCTCTCTCTCTCTCTCCTTCTTCTTCCTCTCCCTCTCCTTCTCTCTCTTTCAAATACACACACACACACACACACACACACACACACACAACACACACACACACACAACACACACACACACACACACACACACCTGGTACCACGGCGGCCAGTTGAAATAGGTGTAGGTGTAATCCGCTGGGTTGAAGGGAAATTTCACAGTCTGGGGGGCGGGCTGCACGAACATGATTTTCCGACTGTACACCTGGCCGCCCACTCCCCTGCCCCCACGCCCGTATTTCTCACGCCCATTGGCCAGCAGGCGGTAGCTGGTCAGTCCGTTGTAGTTCCTCTGGGTGCCGCCAGGGGAGAAATTGGCGCTGATGTTCACCATTTCGGGGTTTTAATGTATTTTTTTTTATCCACTAGAGTTCGTTTTCTCTGTTATTTTAAAAACTATTTTCTTGATTTTTTATCTTTGTGTTTCTTCCTTTTTCACATATTTATTCCCATTTTCCTTTCTTCCTCAGTTTATCACGAGTTCTCTCTCTCTCTTTCGTCCTCACCGCGCGTTCCTCAAATCCGCACCATTGAGATTCCTGCAGACACTATATTTCATGCACTGTTTTCATGACACTGAGGCATGCGAGGGCTGGAACGTACACACACATACGCACGTACGCACACACACACACCCACACACACGCATATACAGGAACACGGATATGCTAATTAGGTTATGACTGCAGGATGGACGAGCGATGCACGTAATTGATATCACAATCCTCTGGCATAAAAACCGTTTGTGTTTTATGTGCCTGACATACATTCCAATCTGTTTATAATCTAAGTATGCTTATCGTCTATCTAGAAGTAATGTATTCTGACCCAATCTAAGAAGACAAACAAACACGCATGAACTAAACATGTCTCCAAAATTTAAAAAAATATATAACCCTCAAAATACCTATTGCGCACACACAAACACACACAAACACACGCATACATACAAACACACACACAAACATACGAACACACACACACACACACATATACAAACACACACACACATACATACAAACACACATACACAATCCAAGAACAGCAACGACAAACAACAACAAAAAAAAACAATATAACCAGAAACTAACAACATCATTAATGCCAAACAACCATCGCCCGCCGTCGAGGGGTCACGTGACTAAACATGGCCGACTCATATCCTTATCGTCGACCGGAATAAACTCATTTCCATAAAGCACAGGCTCGGAATTGGCGATGAAGGGTTGACTAACTGGGACGCGGTCTGCGATGTCTATTCCTTTCTCTTTCTCCTTCTTCTCTTTCTCCTTCTCTTTCTCTTTTCTCTCTCTTTCCCCCCTTCGGTATACTCCTCATAAAAATAAAAAGCAACATTTTTTGTCGGGGAATTTCTGAAGGTGAGATACTGAGAGAAACGTAAAAAAAAAAAAAAAAAACTGCTGTGAGGATGTCATCAAACACACAGCATAGGGGGTGGGGAGAGGAGGAGGAGGAGGGATGGAGATGAGAAAGGGAGAATATGAAGAGAATAAGCGAGGAGGAGGGAAGGAGGGAAAGAAGGTGTGTGTGTGTGTGTGTGTGTGTGTGTGTGTGTGTGTGTGTGTGTGTGAAAGAAAGAGAGAGAGAGAGAGAGAGAGAGAGAGAGAGAGAGAGAGAGAGAGAGAGAGAGAATTATAGCAACCGTGTGAGCAGCATCAGTGAATCACGTATTTTATTGATACCCGCACAGCAGAGGCAAAACCCAGAGATGCCAAATAGTCAAATAATAATAATAATAATAACCTCTCGTACATTAAACCACTCCTCCCCCCCCCCCAAAAAAAAAAAATAAAAATACACCGAAACGAATAAAAAAACAACAGAAAAAGTACCCCCTCTCCCCCCGCCCCAAGAAAAGAAAGAAAAAAAAAAAACAAAAAAACGCATCGCAAGGCGTCATTCCTAATTTAGCGTTATATGAGGTTAGGCGCCTTTGATTAACGCCAAATACCTTTTTTTAACGACTCAATATACGTCGCATGAAGTAATAGCCTGTTACATTACGAGGAAAACGAAGGGAAACAGATGTGTTGGAAGAGAAACTGGCGAAGAACAGATGTGAATTAATGTGTAAAAGGTAGATAAGGGAATATATATATATATATATATATATATATATATATATATATATATATATATATATATATATATGTGTGTGTGTGTGTGTGTGTGTGTGTGTGTGTGTGTGTGTGTGTGTATAAGAGAGAGAGAGAGAGCTAGAGAGAGAGAGAGAGAGAGAGAGAGAGAGAGAGAGAGAGAGAGAGAGAGAGAGAGAGAGAGAGAGAGAGAGAGAGAGAGAGAGAGAGAGAGAGAGAGCGAGCGAGAGAGAGAGAGAAAGAGAGAGAAAGAAAGAGAGAGAAAGAGAAAGAGAGAGAGAGAGAGAAAGAGAAAGGGAGAAAGGAAGAGAGAGAGAAAGCGAAAGCGAAAGAGAAAAAGAAAGAAAGAGAAAGAAAGAGGGAAAGAGACAGACAGACTTAAAACCCTTCACAAGTCTCACTTTCGCATTTTCTCCATCTGAAGCACTCGTCTACCCTCCTCTCCTCTCCCCCCATTCCCCTTCCCTCCTCCCCCTCCCCCCATGATCAAGAGGGCGAAGGTGTGCCCATGACAAGGAGTCGTTTAAGAGCTTTGTCCCTCTGAAGGATCTCTGTCTGTCTGCCTCTCTCTCTCGCTCTCTCTCTCTCTCTCTCTCTTCTCCACTTCTACTATTTGCTACATTTTATTCTTGCTTCTCTTTTGGTTTATTATATTTCTTTTTGTTTATTCGTTTCTTTATCACCTCTTTTCTCCTTCTACTTACCCCTCCCCCCCTTCCCTTTATCCTTTACTGTCTCCTCCTGATACGAAACACACCACAAAGTGAAAAAACAAAACAAAATAAGAAACAGAACAACACAACAATAAGAATAAATTAAATGAGAACAATGATAAATATTTCCCATCAACGTGGTAACCTCACAACCGCCACACACATTCAAATTCTGGCGGAAAACATCACGAGCGTAACGGTTTTATTATCATTATTATTATCATTATTCAGTTGTGCGTGTTTCCGCTTTTAGCTAATGTGGAGTGCGGAGGGAAATGGGAAGGGGAGGGGGGGGGGGGGGGGAGGGGAGGGGAGGGGAGGGATAGGAGGGAGGGAGGAGGGAAGGGTGGAGTGGAGGGATGGAAGGGAGGGAAGGGAAGGGTTGGGAGGGGAAGGGGAGGGAAGGGAAGAGAGGGGAAGGAAGGGGAGGGGGGGAGGGAGGGAAGGGGATGGAAAGGGAGAGGAGGAAGGAGAGACGAAAGGAAAGAAGGGAAAGGGAAGAGAGGAGATGAAAAATAAAAGAGCGGGATAGGAGGGGAGGGAAGGGGAGGGAAGGGGGGAGTGTGTGAGGGTAGGGGAGACGAGGGGAAGGGGGAGAGAAGAGTAAAGAAAAGGGAAGGGGAAGGGACGGGAGATGAGTGAAGGGGGGAGGGGAGGGGCAAGAGAAAGAGAGAGAAAATCATGACAGTCATCACGAACACACGCAAATCATCAATGAATAGTCAATGGATTCTTTTTCTTCCCCCTTTTTCTTTCTCCTCCCCCTCTCCCTCCTTCATTCTCCCTCCTCCATCCTCCTCAATTTTCTTCTATCTCCTCCACCTCCTCATCTACCTCCGCCTCTCCCAACCCTCCAACCCCTCCCACCCCCCTCCTCTCCCTCCTTGCGGTTAACCAATCACCAATTCTCAGCTCCTTCTCTGCTCCTTCCTCCCTCCCTCACTTCTCTCCCTCCTTCTCTGCGCCTTCCTCCCTCCCTCCCTTCCCTCCTTCTCCCCCTTCCCCTAACTTCCCTCCCACCCTCCCTCCCTCCCCTCCTTCTCACCCTCCCCCCTCACTTC